CTCATGTCACTGAAGTGATAAAGGACATGTATGACAATTGAATGGTATCCTTTTGTTAAGTTTTTGGCCAGGGGTGGGTAGTTATTTTTTAATTGATATTTGAGGTTGGGTAATCAAATTTTTGTCTTTTTAATGGTTGGGTCAGCAAAATTTTTGACACGGAAAACATTTCTCTTCGGTGCCACCCCCCGCCATAAATAATGACCGGTCCCTTACTGATTACAAAATTATAAACTAGTCTTTCAAGACTGAGCACATTCCGGAAGGGCCAATTCCGATTGCACAAAGTTAAAGTTGGGGGTTGGGTTAATGGAGTAAATCCCTTTTCCAAGTCAAATCCAAGCCCGAGTCAATTCCGAGCCCGAGTCAAACGTCCCGGCGAGTCACGTAAAAAAAGACGAAATTGAATAAAATTCACTATCGAATAGGGTTAAGGTTAGGGTTTGGAGTAGGGTTAGGAGTATAGGGTTAAAGTTAAGTTAGGGTTGGGGTTAGGGTTAGGGTCAGGCTAAGGGTAATGTTATGGGTTAGTTTTGCTTGTCATGTTAAGGCCAGATTTAGGCAGACTAGGTTGGGATTAGGGATTCCTATAGTTTCGGTGATATCAATCAGATCGAGAAAGGGGGGAAAATACACCCCTTTCGTTTTATCAAAATATATGCCTCCTATATTTCCGCCTGTGTGCACGTTTTGTGAGCCCATATCATTATGTTTGTTACAACGTGTAACAATTCCAATAACTAGGTTTGTAATGTCACCTTGCCCAACGAGTTTGTCGGTTAACTCGAGTCAAATCCAAGTCCGAGTTAAATCCGAGCCCGAGTCACTGTTTACCGATCTTTGTACTTCAATGACCAGTTAGTACCCTATAACCCTACTCCTAACCCAACCTCAACCTAGCATATATTGTGAACCTTGAGTTTAACCAAAACAAAATATACACAAGTAATTATCATATTTAATGTTCAATGTATAAGTCTGAACGCGAGGATTGCCGAAATGATTCGTGGCAACTTCTAGAGTAGCGCTGACAAATTACCAATTACACAGAGGCCTTTGTTTAGATTGTCATAATCGAGTATACAACTAACAACTAACAGATCCCTAAACTATACAACTAGCAGATCAGCAACATCAAGAGCAATATAGTGACAATTTTTTGAAGAATAACAAACCAATATTGCTGTGAAGCATTGACGCAATTCTCGACGTTCAAATGGTCATTCATTCATTCATTGTAAATTAAATTAATTAAACGTCTGAGGAAATATGGCCGGTACACAGTACTTACAGAAGTCTTTGATATAATTTCCTTATTTCTCTTGAGTGATTTCTTGTTTGTTTGATGTTTCTCCCCCGACAGCTGTGCTTTAACTAAATATTGGCGTGGCTAGCCCCACATTTTATAAAACTCCGTTCCCACGGAAGAATGTTCCAAAATCAGGAAGTAGACCTCTTTGTTTCCAAACATGAAAATTCGTGTTCAATACACGCTGCGTTTGCTGTAAACATGCCAAAATGATACACAATTGAGATTAATGGAGATAATTTTTATAATAGCTGGATTATAAGCTCATTATGTCGCAATTCTGAATTTTATTGCTGGAATAAATACCCTTGATTTCTCGTACTGTAATTTCTTTTTGGGTATAGTTAATTGTTATTCTAGTTCAGATTTTTCAATCGGTAAAGGTCGTAGCGCTATTGATTTTACTAATATTCATGTCTGTTTAGTCTAATTAGAATACAATATGACAGTTATCATCGAAATATGTGTCATGTCATTATACATTGTTTCACAGAGCTATGACGATATACCGACATTGAATTATTTGTGCTGCAACGGAACTGACAGTGTACGTTAATTGTGTACCCTAATACACGCGTATGTATATGATGAGGCGTAATGTGTAAGGTGTAATGACATGTATTTACCTCGTAAATATGTTTTTGTATAACTGCCGTGTCAAACCCAAACAAATAAACATAAAATTGCAGTAAATTGATATTGTCATACTCCTATAGCAAATTCTAAATATTTAGGCCATCATTTAGTTTCATGTCGCATCACAACTACAGTTAATGTATGGTTCCTTCTTCATATAATCATATTCACCACGTATTAACGTCTGTAGGTCAAAAGCGTGTGTAGTATTATTAGATTGTTTATGCATGTATGTTATCATGCACTATCTTGTTGTTATGTTTTGCTATAAATTAAGTATATGTCTAGTTGTGTTTATGACTTTATGCTACAATTAGCATAAAGTATGCTATTTGATAGATATTTAATTCCCAAAGGGCAAAGGAGTTGATAAATATTTAAGAAACGAAATGAATAATTAAATTCTCACTGGAGGAGATTTAGGCTACGTTTTATACACTATACCGGATAGTTTTCCGTAGCGGCATGAAAAAGCACCTAGGCGATACGGAATGGACAACTTTCAGGACCGGAGGGAAACAACATCTCTCCGTTGGAATAATTTCTATGAAAATAGCGTTCAACTTCCCAGCAAAAGGTACGGATAGATGTTTTTCACGTCGCAAAGGTAAGCTATCCGGTACAAGTCAACCTAGCCTAAAGGCGGATTTCCAGTCCTCGCACGAAGCTCCTCACAGTACAACTCGCTGCGAGTGCTTGCAAGCATCTAATTAGTAAAATTAATTGTTTAGCATTGATGAAAGTGCTCATGCATGCACTCGCAGCGAGCTGCGAGGAGCTTCGTGCGAGGGCTGGAAATCCGCCTTTAGACGTCGTCCACGGTTTGTTTACAACAGGTAAATGTTGTTTTTCGTATTTAGTTTATTAGGATTGCCATATAATATCAACGATTACAAAGAATAATTTTACATACTACATTGGGCCTTTCGCCATGTTTTATATAAGCCTGCATAATGGTATCACGTGTTCTTGTGTCCTAGCTTATATTTATGTTACATGACGTAACAATATATCACTACATCCCTCTTTCCCTTATAACAAAACAAAGTCAATGTCGACTATAATTAATAAAAATATCGTTCTTATTATCATGCAGTTCATGCGTAATAGTCTGGTGGTTTTACCACTCGTCCACTTCGAGTTGTTACTCTACCTGACGTGTTGTTGTTGTTGTTGTCAGGATTGTTGGCGGTTGTGCTTGATTGTGGCGTAGATGGTATTTCTCGCAGGTGGATTCGGTTGCGCCTCAATTCCCCAGTTGGTGTGTCGACTTGATAAGATCTTGGGGGTATTGAAAATCTTTTCCTTTATGGTTGCTGGACTCCATTTGCCAGTCGACGGATTTTGACACTGACAGATTGTCCTGACTGTAGAGCAGGAAGATGTTTCACGTGTTGATCATGCTATTGTTTTTGCTTTTCCTACCTTTGCTCTAATCTGGTTATAATGTCATCACTATTGTGATCACTGGTAATTTTCCGCGGTAAATTGTATTGAAGTTTCCTTTTCATGAGCAGTTCTGCTGGTGATGGTAACGCATTGTCTATCGGTGTGGAGCGCAAGCAAAGGAGAGCAATGTTCGGGTCAGTTTCGGTCTTCTTAGCTTTAGCTAATATATCTTTCACTGTCTTCACTTGACTTTCAATATACCCGTTGCTTCGGGGATAATGGGGTGAACTTGTTACTATCTGGAACCCGTATTCATTAGCAAATTCGCGATAGTCCTTGCTGGAATAATGTGGACCGTTATCAGATCGAACGACTTCTGGGATTCCTTGTTCGCTGAATATCTGCTTTAGGATCGCTATAATGGTCTTGCTGTTGCTCTGCCTTTTGCGATTTTCCTCACAAATGGGTACTTGGAGTAATAATCGGAAACAAGCAAATATTCTGTGTTATCAAGATAGAACAGATCAATGGCAATTGTATGGCAAGGGCGAGGTGGTATCTCTGTTGGGATGAGTGGTTGTCGGGTTTGTGTTGGTTGAAATTCTTGGCAGATACGACGAGATTTGGTTAGTCTGTCGATATCTTCGTTCATCTTTCGCCAAAAGACGAATGTTCTGGCACGAAGTTTTGTTTTCTCTGCACCTTGATGTGCTGCATGAAGTTTTCCAAGAATTTCAACTTGAAGGGTTGATGGTATAATGATTCTTTGTCCTTTCATGAGTATTCTATTTTCAATACTAATTTCGTCTCTGTAGCACCAATACGGTTTGAGAACTTGTGGAACTTCTTTAATTGATGTTGGCCAGCCTTCGTGCACAATCGTTTTGAGCATCATCAGCTCCTGATCAGAAGTTGTTGCTAGTTTGACCTTCTCGATCATTTCGCTGATCAACTGTGGGCAAACTTCGTGAATTTCCACGTTCATATCTTTCACTGGGTTCTTTTCTTCGGAGGATAATACTGGGTTTATTATAATACTGGGTTTTAATAGTATACATGGAATAAGATAACTTAATTGTCGTGTATTTACATAGGTAATACTACTAATCTAGCTGTTAAAATGTTATTAAAACTATATCTATTTACATCTAGTAAGAACATTATATATTATTATTGTATTTATCAATACCATAGACTAGTGAACTATTCTTAAAACGATCAGTTCTACTTTTAAAGTTATAAAATTTGTTTCTATTAGATCTAGTTTCCCTATTTCTAATGTTTCCCACTGGCACAGGTAATAAATAGTGTAATTTATGTGACGGGGAGGACATGTTTTTAATTAAGTCACTGCAATGCATGTCCCGTCTCTGATTAAGTGGAAGTAGTTTAGACGAAGCAAGAGCATCTTCATAACCTTAGGTCAGAATATTTTGACTTTGTGATAACGTTAGGCCTCCATGCCATAATATGTCACCGTATTCCAAAACCGATCGAATCACTGAACAATAAAACTTTAATAGATATTTTACTGGTGCGCCATATTTCTTTAATACCTTTAAAAAATATAAGCGTTTCCTGGCCTTTTTAATAATAAAACAGGTATTAGTATGCCATTTGAGATCTGATTGAAGCCAAATGCCGAATAGCTTGTTGGATTGTACTCTTTAAATAGGAATGTTGTCTATCGTAATCACTGGTACTTCAGATTTCATAATTCGAAGGTCGATTACCATTTCTTTACTTTTTTTCAAGTTCAACCTCATGTTTTCCTCTCGTGAAAATTTTGAAATTCTTTCAACATTTGCTTGGATGTTGCTCACTGGGTGGGTTTCAGGGTTATTTATATTGAGAATCTCTGATAGGGTAGTATCGTCCATAAAAATTGAAACATGTTCTTTTCCTGAATTTTTGTCATTGAGTGCCAAATCTGGTAGTTTATTAATTTTGGTAATAAATGCTATCGGGCCGATTTTACTTCCTTGAGGTTCCCCTGCGTTGATCTTTTTAAAACACGATGTCAATCCATCAATGTTTACCCTCTGTAACCGGTCGGATAGGTACGAGGCTAACCATGGTAGTATAAAGCGGGGCGAACATCAACAGATTTAAAGTCATTCAGCAAGATGTTATGATCTATAAGGTCAAATGCCTTGGAAAATCCATTCTAATTACCGATTTGGGTTTCTCCAAGGCGACAAACCATGTGTGTAGCATTTCGAGGAGGGCGAATACAGACGACAAACGAGGAATTCCCCCAAATTGACGTTCGCTGAGACAGTCCCTTGAATCTTCTAACATCCAATCCAGTGCAAATGATTCTTGAATTTTTGAAAAAACACTTATAAGGGCAATTGGTCTAATATCTCTTACTGTAGTGCATGGATTTGACTTTGGGATAGGGCAGCAGTTGTATGCTTTCCAAATCTCCCCGAAACATTTATCTTGAAAAGAGGTGTTAATAATGTCGGCTAGTGGACCGGATAACTGCTCCGCAAAGTGTTTGATAATTTTCGTTGGTGGATCAAAGGGACCTGGAGACTTATTGATATTGATTTCTTTCAGCTTTTGTGCAATACATTCCCTTGAAATGGTAGGAAGATCAAGATCGTCTCCACCCAGCTGTAGATCGTTTGATATTTTATTATAGTCCTTAGTTAAGTTAATTAAATAATCATTAATGCACTCTACTGATTCTTCTGACGTTGGAGGTACACCAGAGTCTGGGTTGACAAGGTTGATTTTCTGGTTCTTGCTTATTCCACATATACGTTTGATACTTTTCCACCAATCTTTTGGGTTATTAGACTGTAATGGTTTTACTTTGACCCGGTAAAACTTTTGTTTTTCCTTTTTAATTTCTTCGCGAACTTTGTTACGCAACGATGTGAATTTCTGTTTATCCCCTTTCGCAAAAGCTTTATCTCGGTTCACTATTAATGTTTTAATTCTTCCTGTTATAAACGGTTTATCCTCTTGGTGGAACTTTACGGTACGTTTAGGGAAGTAGGTATCTGGCACACTGCTATTAATTACTTGGGTGAACATTTCCAGTTTTTGGTTGACCGTTGGCAACCTTGTTACTATAGACCAATCATATGAGTTTATCCACTGCCCGAAGGCTTCTAAACTAGAATTCTTAATAGGTCTCACCGTCACTTTCCTTATTCGGTTAATAGATTTTTGACGCGGACGACTTGATTCAGACCACACAAAGTTTTGAGACGTTTTTCGTTGAAATTATTACTATTTGAATTAAAATCACCAGTCACTATGAAAGCTGTTTCTGTGCTCTCTAAAACCAGTGTATCGACACAATAGCAAAGATAATCGTAAAATGTTTCTATTTCTTGATTTGAAGTAAGAGGTGGGAGGTATACAACTGCTGTCGCTATTCGTGAAATACGTCTTGGGAGCCACTTAGGTCGGATTGTAATCCAAAGGCATTCGATAGAACAATGTGACAAGTCTACGCACACTTTGTAAGGTAGGTGCTCCCGTATATAAGTACAGACTCCCCCGCCGCGAATTCCGTTTGCTCTATCTTTCCGGATAATTGTGTAGCCACTCACTTGAAAAACTTCATCTGGAATGGGGTCATTAAGCCACGTTTCCGTGATACATAGGACTTCAGGGTTGAGAATTTTGGTGCGAATAGATAAGTCGAATAGATATTTCATCGACTTTATTAAGGATTGATCGAGCATTAAGAAGCATAATATTTGGAAGGGATCTGGTTAGAACCGGTTTGTTGCATTTCGGTATTGGAACTAAGTTAGTCAGGTTGCGCTTTCTAGGAGTGAAAGGGTTTTTATGTGGTTTCTCCATATTGAAATTATTTTGAAAAGTTCTAGTGCAGTGGTTACTTATTATAACTGGGATTGTATTCACCTTCGTTATTGCGTCCTGGTTATTTGGCTGATAATAACGGATAATCGTGACAGAGCATCTGCTAGTAGCATGTCTTTTCCTGGAGTATATTTGATAGTTAGGTCGTAGGGTTGTAACCGGAGTAGCATACGTTGCAGTCGGGGAGGCCCAGATGTGAGGTGTTTCAGGTGGTACTCTCGAGCGGTTTATGGTCAGTATGGACAATTACTGGTCGTCCAAACAAATAGGTGTGGAAACGTTCGCATCCATATACAACAGCGAGCATTTCCCTTTCGATGTTGGCATATCTGGTCTCCACGTCTGTTAATGATTTACTTGCAAACGCAACAGGTTTCTCTTCTTGTATTAGTGCTGCTCCGAGACCCTTTGTTGAAGCGTCCACTTGTGGAACAACTTCTTTGGTGCTGTCGAAATAGTTTAAGATGATCTCTTCACTGATGGCTTGTTTAACTTCGTCAAATGCTCGTTGGTAGTTTTCATTCCATTCAAAAGTATTCTTCTTCTTTAGGATTTCTCGTAATGGTGCTGTAATGGAGCTAAAGTTTGGGATAAAAGGACCCATGTATGTGACTAACCCAAGGAAGCAAATACCCGAAAGCGAGATCTAGGGTACTGAAGTAACGTGCACCCCCCAACTGGTCTAGAATGTCGTCGATATGGCGCATTGGCTGAGCGTCCTTCTTTGTTACGGAATTAACACGTCGAAAGTCAACGAAAACCGGTAATCACCGTCTTTCTTTGGAGCTAACACGATTGGCGAGGACCAAGGACTGTTACTAAGTTGAATTAAACCTCTGTCTAACACATAATTTACCTGATTGTTCACCACTTTGTTGAGATAAACGGGAATCCGATAGGGCCTTTGCTTCACTGGGTGACTATCCCCTGTATCAATCGCGTGTTCCGCCCTGGTGGTTAGGCCTAAGGGATCGCTCGATCTGTTCACAAAAATGTCTGAATAACTTTCGAGCAGAACACTTAGCTTGTTCACAGTTGGGGAAGTTGTCTCAACAATTAATTCTGCTTCCTCTGTCTTCCACGAAAGCTTCGACTTCGCTATGTCCACAACCATTCCCCCCGATTTTAAGAAATCAGCACCCAAAATGCAAGTGTTTCTCATACCCACGACCAGAAACTGATGGGTGACCTTCGACATCTCAAGGCAAACATGTAAGTCTGTTGATCCCAACACATGTAAGTCTTCCCCGCCATCCCTCTTGCCCTGAAAGTACATGGCTGTAAGGGTCCACTAATAAATTCTCTGCTGACTAATGACATCGTTGCACCTGTGTCCACTAAACATTTTCGCCCAATCGTGCGCGCCTTTATGAAGACTGCCGTGGGCTGAACAGAGTTTATGGGCAAGGCCGCATTATCCTGGGCTGACCCCCGGCCTAGCAACGGGTCGGCCCCTGGTCGTTTCCATGACGTGGTTGGCTATTAAGGGGGGTCTGGAACCGAAACTGGCATTCCCGCGAGAAATGTCCCATCTGTCCACAAACAAAGCAGTAATTTTCAGTTTGGCGCTGACGATAATTCATTCGTCGCCCGTTCCCGGACGTACTCCTACATTCACTGGCGATGTGACCCATTCTCCCACATTGATAACAAGGGCCCCGGCGCCCCGCGGGGGAATTTCGCACAGACGTTCACGTTAGCAACAGATTGAGATAATTCACTAACGTTCCTCGTAAGAATATCTACACTTTCCATCAATTGCGTAACCAAGGGCGACTCTACTACCGTTTGATTCGTGCCACCGCTCGTATTCACTTCGTTAACCGATTGACTCGATGAAATCTGACCCGCTAAATCCAGCTGTTGCCCCGCCGTTGGAACTTGTTATCCGCGCCATTTTCACTGGACCCGCGCCATTTTCGCTGAACCCGCGCCATTTCTATTGACTCGCGACCCGCGCCATATAGACTATCCCTCCTCGTACGAAAGAGTCGGTCGTTGTAATAATTGTTTCTTTAGTTCTTTAGATACTCCTTCGACAAATTGTTTCTTGAGAAGTGTTTCTCTGTCGCCCTTTTCGATGTTTGGCATTGCGCGTCTTAATAGCGCTTCCAAATTGTAGGCGAATACTTGGATGTCTTCTTCTGGCTTTCTCATTCGGCTGCGAAATGCCATCATCGCGAGATGTTTGCCGTTCTCATCACCAGCAAAAGCCTCCGTTAGCGCTTTCGTTAGTACTTTAAAATATTCTTTTGTCTCCGCCGCAAGACACTCGAAAATCGCAAAAGCTTTGCCAGACAACAGAGTTGGCAGCCTTTTTAACATATCCCGGTATCTTTCCAATCGTTCACCTTCGCACAAAGCTCAAAATTTTCGTAGCCACAGAACCATATCGCCGTCTGAAAAGATCTCGGGAAGTGCTACACTCGCACGCGTCGCCAAATGTAATATAAGCGAATCAGACAACAACGATACAAATCCAGACTTTTCTATATTACTCTTTTACACGCTAGAATATCACACAATAACAATTCTAATGATATTTGTGATGTTACTCTGAGTGTATATCCACATCGGGCGAGCTTGAAAAATATGCCCGGCCACGGTGGGATTCGAACCTATGACCTTTGGAATACTAGCCCAATGCTCTTCCAACTGAGCTACGCGGTCAGGACGGTTCGAGTAGGTGATATTTCGGAACAGAATCTAGTTCCTTCGATACCAATGTATTCTAGTAATATGATTTTTTCTGTGTTGGTGTTGTGTACTCAGGTGAATATGATATTTGTGATGTTACTCTCGGTGTATATCCACACCGGGCGAGCTTGAAAAATATGCCCGGCAACGGTGGGATTCGAACCTACGACCTTTGGAATACTAGCCCAATGCTCTTCCAACTGAGCTACGCGGTCAGGACGGTTCGAGTAAGTGATATTTCGGAACAGAATCTAGTTCCTTCGATACCAATTCTGTTCTGAACTAGACTCTGTTCCGAAATATCACTGTTCCGAAATATCACTTACTCGAACCGTCCTGACCGCGTAGCTCAGTTGGAAGAGCATTGGGCTAGTATTCCAAAGGTCGTAGGTTCCAATCCCACCGTGGCCGGGCATATTTTTCAAGCTCGCCCGGTGTGGATATACACTCAGAGTAACATCACAAATATCATATTCGCCTGAGTACACAACACCAACACAGAAAAAAAAAAAATTCTAATGTCCCCTGTCTCATATTACTAACGTCCTAATACTTTGCCAATCACCCCTGTGTCACTTAATGCCTTTAATTATTATAGTCATATATGTTACAACGCCATATGGTGCCAACGGCGAGATATGATGTCAACAATAACCCAGCAGCTCCCTTTGATCAGGAATCGCCATGCATATACGCGTTATTTGGCCCGTGCGTGCGGAATGGTGTCTCCTTATCTCCGTATTTCTTGTCCGCCAAAAGTACAGCACCGGGAGGCATATCATGGTTAGGACCATTAAAAGAAAATTGGCAGCGTCATTTTGTGCACCTAGAAAACCAGCCTGGACGAAACCAATATTACCTACATTGTCCACAATCAATTGGGTGTTCATATAAGTTGATAGTGTCGATGTCCACTGTAGAAGTGCCGTTGGGGCTCCACTTGTGGTCAAATATTTCATGTGGAGTTCCATCTATACAGCCAACGGCGTCTGAAAAGGATGGCCAGTTCCCCCGTAGAGCATATATATATTCAATTCAATACTAGGCCATGAAACCTGGTTATGAAAAAATCTCCACGAAACAGGACTAAACACCGTGGATAATGTTTGAAACTAGCTTACATCAAAACGGGCTTTTGGGATTTGGGATCACAGTAATTGGCCTGAAGCTGTTGTGATTTCCTGTCACATTTGTAATATTATATATGTAATTATTGTTATTTGTCATGTATTCTTGTTGTGACAAAGCTCAGGGAATAAGTAGGGGGTGTAACACCCTCCCCCCCCCAATAATTCAAACGTTGGTCAAAGTTGGTCAAAATGGAAGTGATATTTGCCCAATGTTCGTCAAAATGGAATTGATATTGATTAAAAGATGGTCGAAGTTGCCCAAAGTTATGAACTCGGGTTCGCAATTTTAACAATTTTGAAGCTTTTGTTACGTTTGCGGTCACACGCCAACCGGCCACAACATTTTCAGGAAAGATTTTACGACTTGACAATATCCTAGGAAATGTTGGTCAAAACATGACGACCCCACCCCCCACCCCCCCAATGTTGATGGCTTCGCGACGTTCCTGACAAAGCTTGTAAAATTAAAATTAAAAAAATTAAAATTAAAAAAATTAAAATTAAACGATGGTTTCAGCCAATAGTAGAGTCTGTCACCTTTCTAAACCAAAGGCACGTTGTACTATTTCACGATATATAGCCGATGAAAGATATCTAAATACTAGAAATACATGCATGCAACGACCCCTCGCCTATATTTTCCAAACATTGTTTCAACATGAATTATTCGTAACAAGACGCCTGCTCAGGCGTTCACACTGGCCTCGCGGTTGGTAAAAAACCATCGCAATACTTAAAAAAATAATTTGAAACAGGTAAATGTTCTTCATTTCTTGACCGCCGTCACTTAATGATCACAAACATTCAGAGGACGGCAGAATAAAAATCCATACAAAACCAACAGAGTTCAGCGATAGACCAATTGCGAAACTTAGTGACCGCGCCTTCAACTGCACGAAAACGAGGCTTATTATGCAAAAACAAATCATTCTGCTATATTTTTATGTGGCCAAAAATGAATTTCAGTGTTTGCGACGCGTTTTTATGGTAATCTCTTCATTTTTTCTCAATATTTTTGTTTTGACTATGTAAATCTTTATTAAACTTGTTCATAGATTTAGTCTTACTTCAAATTTCATTGTTTTTTGCGGCGTGCGAGGCAAAGTTTTGCTGTTTTTCGCCGTCCGATAAAAGAAGCAGATTATACCAGAGAAAGAATCAGGTATTTTTCGTCTGGTTTATTAATACTTTTCAAAGAATAAGTTGTTTTGTTTCAGTTGTAATATAATAGCAAGTTTTCGATTTTAACTTTAAAAATATGAAAGTAAATGTCGGGCAAAATTTGTAGAAATTTTATGTTATTATCCTTTGACAAAATCTTTTTTTCTCGCACGAAGTCTAAAAAAATCTCGGTAGAAAGAGTTATATTTTAGTTTATTAAGTTATACTTGTAACTTAAGAAGTCCAAGATACTCCGGCGTAAGAAACCCGATCAGAGAATGGCAACTTTCGCTGTTGAGGTTCGCCATAAATTGTTGAAAACTTTGACCAGCATATTAGTCAAGGAGCTGACCCATGCAAAAGGCGGTTTCGTTCAACCGACCAGACAGAAAAGGTCTGACACCAGTTTCCTACAGAACAATAAGTGCTCTTTAAGACTAGGTACTATGTAGTCTCGAATTGTGGTACCAATAATCGTATATCTGGGGTTCTTTACCCGCTATCGTACTCGCATCAAACTCAACATCAAAACGAGGTGACAGCACTATTTACCGTTCAAATCTATATTCTGTGATCTAAATACCCTAAAAACTATCAAACGATCAAGGGTTGGTCTGTGCTTAACATTTGTTAGACTATATAGCAACAAATCACGTCACATGATTTGTCACGTGACTGCTTTTCGTCAAAAATCCGCTTTTCTGTCAATTTCTGTACGTTTAAATTCCGGTTGAGACGTTATTTATGGTTTGATTCACATTATAATAATTTATAGCGACGCTTTTGGTCGTATTCTGTCCCATTTCGTAAAAAAAATTATTTCCATTGGAAAACGTTGAAGAAATAGCTGAAATCAGCGCATCTTTGTAAACTCGTACCCAGGCTCTTTGCTCGTTTTTTTTTGCTCTTCGCTACAAATAACATCGTTTTGCATACAAGTTTATCTCAAAGTTAAAATATTAATGTTATTTAACATGTTTAAATACTGTTTTTTAAAAAAAGGATACTTAGAGTGCTGCTTCTTTTTGTTTTCGATGTAATTTTGCTGGTGAGGATCTCCACGGAAAGTGAAAATGTAAGTTTTTAACACTGAAGTTTGGAAAATATAATATGCATATTAATATTTCATATATTTGTACATAAAAAATTGAAAACTAAGATAGGAACTATTTCACTGGGATATAAAAGTTGCCAGAATAATAAAAAGAAACGACATGGCTTCGTGGGATGTTTTTCTCATTGTATTTAAAACAATATTCAGCCTATAGTGCCATAGTGGGTTATTGCCAAGTGGAGTTTTAAAAATATTGCACAAAACGCACAATACTTGCAGTATCTTTGTTTGGACTTGTTATATGTTATCCATTTATTTCGCTAAAAAATCATTTGTACAGTACACAACATTTGTTATGAAAAGTTTGTTTGTCTTGCTCAGATAAAACAGACGTAAATCTCGCGAATGTTTGTCTTAAAATAGACCGAGATATTTTCCCGCCAAAACTACCTGTTGTTGCTTAACCTTGATATATAGTTTTATTGCGGCCAAAAAAACCGAATGAAAAACATATAATTGTTGGATAACCAATTTATTCATTCGTCTTAGAAAGTACGTCCTTTTTCATGTTTGCAATGTCTTGCACGGGAAACCATAAAACCCAAACTCTTTGATCTTTTGTTAATCGAGGCATATTCGAAAGGCGAACGAAGACCGAATAATACGAACTCCCAAAGGACATCGAATATGATTTCGAACGTTTTTAAATGTTTCATGCTTATTTTGCTTCCTAAGAAACGTGAAAGGCTAACTTATACTAGAACTTTACCCGAAATTAAAGTTGAGTTGAAATGCTAAAATTGAAATTGTTAATGTTTGTGGAAAATAGCAATTGTTTTCATATAAATTTGATCAGCCATGTTTCTCGATTTGTTTACTCATTTTTAAAGCGTGCGCCCAATTCAAACATTTGCATCTCACGTAATATTAAATGAAATTTTTAGGGCTGTATATGAAAATCTAAGTTAGCCTTTCCTGAATACAATAAAATTTATTTGAGTGTAATAGTTTTTATAGTTTTTACCTTACACGAAATCAAATAGCGCAAGGTTTTTTTGGGACACCTGGTAGTATTATTGTAAACAAAACTTTTTGATAAAAAAAATATTATTTTGTTTCTGTAGTCGGTCAAAAGCGATAAAATAAGATCAAAACTTTTATTTCACATAACATAATCTGTACACAGGTAATAATATGCAGCAAAAATAATTTCAAAAGGATGGATGACGATGGCTGGCAGCTCCTTCCAAAACCAGCTAAAAGATTGAAGAAACTGACCTGTTTCGACAAGTGTATTTTTTGCCAGACGGGTAATGCTAATCTGCGTGTTGCAAAGCCTTCTTCACTAGAGAAAGTTGTTTCTGCACTTAAGCAACGACAAGATGAGGTATCGTATGATAGCATGTGTTTTGTTTATTGCTCCATATTGTACATATTACACAGCCAGCGAGTCTCTTAATCAAATCGCCCACGTAAACGCCTTCTGGTCGGCGTTTTTCTACGTTTGAAATATTCTTAAACATTTTCAGGTGTCGCAACGCCTCACACCTAATGATCTTTGTCATGTGGAGGGAAAACACGTTTTGTGGCACTCGTCCTGTTACGAAGCATTCACCAGTAAGCAAAACCTACAATTTTCAGAATCCAAAACGTCAAATAATCCTGTTGATGTCAAAGTTGGCAAACGAGGCGGCACATTATTTGATTGGTCAAAGTGTATGTTCTGCAGGAACGCAACACGTAAGAAGGACAGTAATCTTATAAATATTGTCACCTTTGAAGCATGTAGCACCATAAAAGAATCTGTAGAAGCACGAGTGGATCACCAACTGCTTGACGTACTTCAATCAGTTAATTATGATCTTATAGCAGCAGGAGGGAAATACCACAAAGCATGTCATGCTTCTTATGTCAGCAAAGTAAATATTAGACGCATGCAGCGCGATACTTCCACAATTGATGAAAACCCTTTTGATGAAGCCTTTAACCAACTGGTAAAGACCATAACGACTCATATCAATAACGGCAAGGCCTACGACATGAACATTCTTTTAGCTATGTTTAAAAAGGAGTTAGAAAAACTATGCAATGCTGGAGAAAGCTACACGAAGCAAAAGCTAAAAGCGCGATTAGTGGCCCATTATAAGGAAGACCTTGTGTTCCACCAGCCACCTCAACAATCCAAACCGGAGATAGTGTATAGCAGTTCCATATCTTTGGTTGATATCATAAATGCGGCAATCAACTCTCCGCCACCAGACACGACAATCTGTATATCCAAGGAAAAAATGAACGCATCCACGTCCGAATTCTTCGACATCTATGCTGTAGCAACTCAAGTGAGACAAGAGGTAATGAAATGTAAGGGCATTGACATCAATCCACTGGATATCAGTGATTTAAACCTCGATACTGCAAAAGAACTTCTTCCCCAAAATCTACTGGTTTTTAAGATGGATCATAACTGGAGAGCAATATAGCGACCGCAGTTCATCTTCAAGTGTAAGAATTCCTGCAGATGAGCGCAAGATTATAATGGTCGCACAAGATATCGTTCACTGCGCATCACATGCAAGAGCAAAGCTTCCTAAGCACGTAGCGCTTGCCATATCAGTCAAGCACATAACTTGTTCAAAACAGTTGGTAACTCTGTTGAACAGAATGGGTCACTGTTCTTCGTACGTGGAAAATGAACAAGTGGAGACGAGCCTGGCCAATGAAAGTTTAGCGAGATCAAAGACTAGTGGTGTTATAATCCCAACTAACATAAATCCTGGTGTGTTTATACAAATGGCGGCTGACAACAACAATATTAATGAAGAGACGCTCGACGGGAAGAAGACAACACATGCAACGACAATGGCTATATACCAGCGCAAGCAGTACGGACCCAAGCCAGCACGCGTTGTGCACGCCGATCATTCCAAAAAGAAGAGGTCGCTGGATTCAACTCGTAATCTGGTTGTCATAGAAGAAGTGAATGTAGGTCGCAGGCAACCCACTCTTGCTGACTATGTAGGGAACGATGTTATCACTTACCTTCAATCTGACCGTCAGCTACCGTCCTGCTGCACGGCTGACCTCTGCTGGATGCTACTTCGTCTTTCTGATCCTTTTATGGTGTGCAACCAACAAACCCCGGAAGAGCAGAATATACCAGGATGGAGTGGATTCAATGCTATTACACATCCTAGCTTACCAGTGGAGACTGTCATAGGTTATCATCCAATGATCAATGCAGAATCAAGCAATTTCAGCACCCTATACACCTTGATGAAACTGGCACAGAAGATATGTAACACCTTAGGACAGTGCGACTCAGTGGTCACTTTCGATCTAGCTCTTTATGCAAAAGCTAAACAATTACAAATGAAATACCCAGAGGAATTTCAGAGCACCGTTATCAGAATGGGCGGCTTCCACGTCGCGCTAAACTATCTCTCTCTCCTGGGAAAGAAATATGCACAATCGGGCTTAGAAGACATGCGATTGAATCTGGAGTTTATGCAGCTGGCACCACTTCAGTAATTATGCTTGGCAAGTCTTACAATCGAGGGATTCAGGCGCACAAGCTTACCATGGAAGCGCTTTTCAGACTTTTGTGGCAAGCCTTCGTGGAATGGCTGGAAAGGGAAGAAGTTGGACTAGAGAACGGGGCAAAGCAACTTATTCTCTGCAGAAATAAAGAATGCCGGAACACAGTTAAACAAGAAGATTTCTTCGCGGATAATTGGTCGGCATTTCAAGGTTGTATCGAGCCTTTGATGCTACTACTTGACACTTTCAAGTTAGAGAGCAGAAAGAAGTCCAAGGTATTCAACTTCTGGGAAGATTATATCAACATGGTGCTGTTGCTCTTGCAGTTTGTTAAAGCTGAACGAACTGGGAACTGGAAGCTTCATCTCTCCGCTACTGCCGCGATGGTTCCCCATTTCTTTTCCATGGACAGGGTCAACTACTCTCGATGGCTGCCCGTTTACCTTTCCGATATGAACATGTTGAAATCGCACCATCCTGAAGTCTATCAAGAGTTCATGGCAGGAAGTCATAGTGTGAGCCGTTCGAAGCAACCGTTTGCACAAGTTTGGCCCGACATGGCCCTGGAGCAATCAATCAATCTGGATTCGAAGTCGAAAGGCGGCATAATAGGCATGAGTACCAACGAAAATGCGGTAGAGAAATGGTTTTTAACCAGTCATGAGAGAGCGGCAATAACACAAGAACTCAAGAACATGTGTGGGATACAGAATTGCGACAGGATCGGAACGCACAAAGAAGTAAGTGCGACAAGAGTAACAAGAGATGAAAACGATGTGCAGAAGCTACTTGCTACGTTCAACGGTAAACTCCTCAGTGATCCTTTTCACATTCCTGATGACATTATCGACAACGAAGAACCGTTACCTTTGAGTAATCTTGCCACAGGTGTTGTTCTACCAGATGCTGAGGCTAAAAGACTTCTTGACGCAGCAGAGTTAGGAAAACAAAGCATGGAGGGCTTTGTTTCATCTAGAGTTCAGAGTAAAGAAATTAATTTCTGGGATCCAATTCATAAGCTCAAAATCAAAATCTTAGAAAAGGATGTCAACTGCAGTTCAAGCCTGCCTGCTTCACAGTTTCCTTCAGCCTGTCTAATTGATGCAATGTCTCTTATACAGATGATCAAGTCTGCAGGGTGTTCAACGTATAAGGAGCTGTCTAAGAAGTACGAAGAGATTGTCTTGACCGCATTACACCGACCCGGCTGCACAAGAGTGGACTTAATTTTCGACCAATATCCCTCTGTTTCAGTGAAGGCGGACGAACGCAGAAAGAGAGAGGAATCAAGCTCCCTAGAAGTAATCATCCACAGTGGATCAACGCGAGTTCCGAAGCAATGGGCAAAATACATTTCAAACCCGAAGAACAAAGAAAACCTGGCCGAATTTCTTTGTGAAACTTTAAGTGAACAGCTACCACAACGTTTAAGCTCCTCGGAAAAGGTCGTCTTGGCTGGCGGATTTAGGGACGGATCAAAGACAGTGTCGTTAACTCAAAGCTCAGTGGCTGTTGAGCATAATCTACGCTCAGATCACGAAGAAGCGGACACCAGGCTTCTGCTTCATGCCAAACATGCTGCCAACACCCACCCAAGGATTGTGATACAATCACCAGACACCGATGTCGCTGTGCTTTCAATAGCACACTTTGAAGATTTGTCGTGCCAAGAGTTATGGTTTAAAACTGGTGTAAAGGACAGACAGAGATACATACCCATCCATGACATTCACCTTTCCTTTGGCCGACTTGTTTCCAAGTGTCTGCTATCGTTTCACGCGCTAACAGGATGTGACTCCATCATTGCCTTGTCTGGAATAGGAAAGAAGAAAGCCTGGAATGTGCTGCTCAAGAATGAGCAGATACAGCAGGACCTCAGCTATTTTGGTAAAAATCCGGTCATTGAAGAGTTTGAACAGAAAGTCGCTGAATCTTTCATCTGCTCCATTTACACGTCCGCACAAGAATTTTTGAACTCCAATGATGCCCGATACTTTCTGTTTTGTCAACGAAGTTTGAAGAATGAAGAACTCCCTCCCACATCAGAAAGCCTTTCTCATCACATCAAGAGAGCAAATTTCCAAGCATGTGTTTGGAACAGAGCCTTACATCCATTTCAAAGCATGCCCTCGCCAGCAGGAAATGGTTGGAAATTGGAAGATGGAAAGTTAGTTCCTGTGTTGATGACACGAAATCCCGCCCCAGAAGGCATAGTGGAGTTGACAACATGCCGCTGCACAACTTCCGAGTGCAAACGGAATTGTTCCTGCAAGAGAAATGACCTTGCATGCACCGAAGCTTGTTTATGCATGGCCGACGAAGGATGCAGCAACCTTTTCAACGAAGAATCCTATGTCTACGGTGACTCCAGTGACTCCGAGACTGAAGGACAAAATTAAATAACACTAGACAATGTTGTGTGGAAAAAGTGATATTACGGTAAAATATGTTAATTCAGTAAAATTTCGAGACACACTACAGTCTATTGTTTAGTGATGTATTATAATGTTTTAAAAGCCTTCTTTATTTTCGCAAATTTGGCACGTTATTGGGTTTCAGGTAGGGAACGGCCGAGCAAAGAGCCTGGGTACAAGTTTATAGAGATGTGCTTATTTCGACTATTTTTTTAACGTTTTTCAATGGAAATGAATTTTTTGACGAAATGGGACAGAATACGACCAAATGTGTTGCTATAAATTATTATTATGTGAATCAAACCATAAATAACGTCTCAACCGGAATTTAAACGTACAGAAATTGACAGAAAAGCGGATTTTTGACGAAAAGCAGTCACGTGACAAATCATGTGACGTGATTTGTTGCTATGTAGTCTAACAAACGTTAAGCAAAGACCAACCCTTGATCGTTTGATAGTTTTTAGGGTATTTAGATCACAGAATATAGATTTGAACGGTAAATAGTGCTGTAACCTCGTTTTGATGTTGAGTTTGATGCGAGTACGATAGCGGGTAAAGAACCTCAGATATACGATTATTGGTACCACAATTCGAGACTACATAGTACCTAGTCTTAAAGAGCACTTATTGTTCTGTAGGAAACTGGTGTCAGACCTTTTCTGTTGGGTCGGTTGAACCAACTCCTTAAATAAGGTGTTTTCACAAAACAGATCCTTGACTATATGTGCATTATTTATTTGGGTAAGATGTTGAAAATTTGTACTATTAAACGGCCCAAAAATAGTAAACAGAAAACACCCGTACCCGTTTGTCGTTTACGTGTAGACCATGGTTTACCGCGGGGAAACGGGTAAAAATTACGGGTAAAATTGCTGACATCAGCAAAAATTGGTAAACAAAATGGCGATACTCGTACCCGTAAACCGGAACCGGGGTATCTTAACCTCTCTATTGTGAAGAATTGGTCCTAATAATGGTCGTGAGCATGTTTTAGCTAAATTGCGCAATCCTGAGCCCACGATGCCGTAATGGAAAGTCACACTTGCGACAACCAAAAAAACCCCGAAAAATTCCTTGCATTTTCAGCAAGGGCAAATCATAACACTGGCTGCGGCCAGTGTAATTCTCCTGCTCGTTTATTAAACAGTACTATAAATAACCGTTGAAGCTAAATAAAGCGGCAGGTACAAAACGCAGATTGCAGGGTGCAGGTTGGAATTTCGCAGGTTGGAATTTTGCAGGTTGGAATTGTGCAGGTTGGGGATTTTGCAGGTTGGAATTTTGCAGGTTGCCAGGAATTTTGCAAGTTGATGATGCAAATTTAAAATTACATCACTATAAAGTATTCTAGTATAATTTAATTGTGTACTTATTGCAGTCTGACTCCTTGTCGGCGCTTTTGATATCAGCCTATCCTGCTGCCATGTCACCTAGCCTCTGCTCTAAGGAGTGGCCACCACCCTCGTGAAAACATTCAAAATGACTAGATTGGCTTGGACATTCAGGGGGATGAATGTTTCGATTGTTGCGAGGAGCCTACATGACGTGGTGGCAGTTCAGAAAATGCCTGAATGAGGTGTCTCTCCTCTGCACCCACTTATGAGAAGTCCACTCAAGCCCCCAATTACCGTATCATTAATTACTCGAGAGTTTAATAGTTAACTTTTAACAACATTCTAGTGTAAACGCCGCCACGTCATGTAGGCACCTCGCAACAATCAAAACATTCGTCTCCCTGTAGGTCCAAGCCAATCCGGTCATTTTGAATGTTTTCACGGGGGGTGATGGTCACTAGCCTTAGAGCAGAGGCTAGGGAAATGGCAGCAGGATAGGCTGATATCAAAAGCGCCGACAAGGAGTCAGACTGCAATAAATACACAACTAAATTATACTAGAATACTAAAAAAGTAGTGTAATTTTAACTGGCAACCTGCAAAATTCCAACCGGCAAAATCCCCAAACTGCAAAATTCCAACCTGCAAAATTCCAACCTGCAAAATTCCCAAAAACAAAATTCGAACCTCCAACCTGCAACCTGCGTTTTGTACCTGCCGTAAATAAAGTTGTCGGAAAAATCCGATGAAACCATGAATATGATCATTATTTGCATTAAAGCCATTGTCAGAAGCGTTTTCCTTTTCATATATGCCCTCTGTTTCGAACTTCAATATTCAGTGTAATTATAAGCGTATTATTATAAGCCGGTTGTGGCTATGAATTGCAAAACTATATAAATGTACATGTACGTATTATTTACAAAGATAACAACGATGGTGAAAAAGTATTCTTATTCTTTACTGCATTACAACTTAAATTGTTACATTATACACGATAACAATTATGGCATTAGAGATATAAATTAAGCTTGGAACTAAATGACAGCTACATTAATAATATTAAAATGCTATTACATTTTTAGACGTTCAAGTGCATTTAATAAGCGCACGGGATGTGGAAGCCATTACCCTCCCTTAATTAACGAGAGCGATTTCTTCAAAAATACAATAGAATACTAAATGAAAGAAATATCGGGAATATCGACAAAATTTTGACAAACTTATCATAAAATATGTTAAATTCAGGGTATTTCATTCTGTAACATTTAGAATGCCCTCTAGGATCACCCCCGTAAACTTATACATGAAATTATATGAGTGGATTATGAAACCGTGCAGTTTAAAAATGGTTAATTACAAAAAAATTACTGTTTACATGATAACCTCTATATATGGCTTGTTGCCTGTTAATACAGTGGCTTTAATTAAGCAGTAACACACGAAGACAACTGGTTCCATTTCTACAAACAATAAAAATAATTAATAATTATTTTTGCATTTCTATACATTTCTAATGTCTAAATTTAATTTTTATATATTACTGGGTGTCCCAAAAAACCTGGATACTGTTTACTTTCATGTAACGTAATAGCTATAAAAGCTATCGCAATGAAATAAGACCATTGCATTCAGTATGGATTAACTTAGATTTTGATATATAGCACTTGAATTTACATGCATGTAATATTGACTGCGCTATTGATGTTTGAACTTTGAACTACTGAGTACTGTTTTTGAAAATGCCAAAATTAGCATAAAACAACCTTATATAATTACCGATGTAGTTATACTTGTTAGGATAATAAATATTTTTCTTTTTGTTGTATATCTCACTCACTATTGAATTTAAATACAAATTATCATTATATTCTATCAAAATCTAAGTTAGTCTTTTCTGAATGCAATGATCTTTACTTAATTGCGATAGCTGTTATAGCTTTTACGTTACATGAAAACAAACAGTGTCCAGTTTTGGGGGGAACAGCCGCGGTACATATAGGTGTACAGTGATTCAGATTGGAAGTCCAAGAATTCGACAATTTATCATTGATAATGAAATAAGAACCAATATGGAAACGATCACTTCTCCAGCGCAATCACTTCTCCAGCAACTTGCTGCACTAACTGTTTAGGGACTTTAACTGGCACATGCTTTGCGGATGAAGACAACTGAGTGCATTTGTCACCAATTTTAATAGCAGGGGCGTTGTAGTGGCGCAAGCTCCCCACTACTATTGGGAATATGTAGTTCTGATCTCAGGTTAACCACACCTCAATTATGAGCGTTACGCCACCGATTTTCCTCTGCTGCACTGCTACAGTAATATTGCATGCAACTGAAGTGCATCGATATAAGGTTTTGTGGGAGAAGAGAGTTTTGTGGCAGTATGACATGTTATTCTTTGGCACTTTGACCAAAGTCTGTTAGCATATGATGGTATGGAGGAAACTAAACAGAAGTCATTGTACTATGTTTTTGTCTGAGTTTATATTAATTTGTGCACGGTCACGGTGATTGAGCTCATTGTATTTTCTTATAATTAAGTAACCGTGCAATAGAGATAGCTGAGATGAAACGTGCAACCACGATGAATAATATTTAATGAAGTTGACACAAAGGATTTGACCAATTTGTGCACAGTGAGACATAATTCACTGACATCAAACAAAGGTCGCCTTTCCGAGCTTCCTGACCATCATATCTTGACAGACTTTGTTTTGACACTTTTGCACTCAGATTTCAACACTTTGGCACTCGAAATTTAAGTGCAGGTGACCAGGTCTTGCGAGAGCTGCTCGTTAGTTCGTTATACAACCTCCAAGTCTTATAGAACAAGTAGAACTAAAGAACCTGAGTATCTGGTCGACATTATATTTATTTAAAAAAATATAGCGAGATTTTCGTGGCGGTAGACATTTTTGGAGTGGTACACCCCTTGGTGCTCTCTCGATACAAATACTCATTACTTACTCTTTATGGAAGCGTGGTGCATCGCGCAGGTGGTTTATCTGTTACGTACAAAGATCCATTGTGTAAGATCAAATAATTTCCGAGAAATATGGTTGTCTTTTTGAGATACCTTCCTAGAAGAAACAGAAACACCATTTGCCCCGGAACGACCAGAGGACAAGAGGGCAGGGGGGGGGGAGATTTTTGTAGTGGAGTAATTGATATATTCCTTGTTAAGGTAAATCTTTGGGGGGTTTTATTGGGCATTTTTGTTCCCCTTGCCCCCGATATAAAAACTAAGGCAAAAGGGGCGCTTGGATGTAACATTTGGAATGCGTGGTGCATGCCAATTGAATGGCACGAGAATAGCCAAGGATCAACCAATAAACACAGATTCGGTGAAGTGCATGGTGTGGAGCGAGCACTAATTTTCCCAAATATTTATGGTAGTGGATTAAGCCTATTTTCCACTAGATGAAAAAGTTGGATCAGTTCCTACTTTTTTATTGATCATGCGAACAAATTCGCTTACGTTTAGATAACAACAGCTTGTCATAGGAGCAATGTGTGTAAAGCAGATCTAGAACAATTTACGTGTCATTTACATATATATCAAATATCGAATATACGAACTTTATGACTTTAGTATATCAGTAAAATATACCTATTATTTTAAGTTTTGATTGTCCATTATGCGCTCCACCCTTAAGGATTTGCAGCTTTTACATAATTATTCATTCTACCCAAAAAGTACATCATGTATATTATCCCTACTAACTTACCATTTGATAGCGTACTACTGGGAAATATAACGACGCCCACACTTCTTATGCATGTTCTCATTCCATTAAGATCCTTTTCATACACGTATCCATCAATATTGCAACAATTATACTTGGTCCTCGACCTTAAAACAATATTTAAGCCACACGTCTCAAAGATCGTGAAAAAGACAAGGGTACATAATATTATTGGACTACTTCGTGTTGTCAGTTAAAGCGCGGATAATGTTATAATGAAGCGCTGTTTTGCCTTAAAATAAAGACTTAAAACGTTCATAACCATGTTATGAAGAAGACGCTTTGGGCTATAGGGCCTCATTTTCGGGATTGAGATATGTTTAAAGTTTTCTCCAAGTACTTCCACAATGCAGAAAATGCCGTTTCAGAGATGCTTGCTCAATTTTTTTCTAGTATAATTCCCCCGAATCCGCTACAATTGTGACTCACTAATTATTAATACCCCCCCCCCAAAAAAAAAATTCTGCCTGCGCCAATGTATCCCTAATCCATGATGATCTAATTATATAAAGCTCTTATATAACTGCAAGATTTCGTAAATACTTGCATGAGTTGTACTGTGTAAATCACCTATGAAAAATGCCTACATAATGCCTGCAAATACCCCCCCCCCCCCAATTTCAATGTGCCTGCAATAACAGGTGGGAAATTTGTCGTCGCTGACCAAAAAATCGCGGGCAGAAACCAAGCTCATTGCATTTACATTCAAAACAAAGCAGAAAGTTAGCAAGAAGCTGTTTTAGCTGACGATTTTTTGCTTTCCATTCAACGATTTACAAATTAACGGTTATTCTTTTAAAAGTCGACTATGAATTCTTTGTTTTGGGATGATTTGTTTTGTAATCGAGTGATTGGAAGAAGTTAATATGGCGACGTGAACATGATAGTAAATACCGTATACGTCGATCTGTGGCTTGTTTAAAACCGTAATAAACCAAGAAAGACGTGATATGAGAATGAAATGTAAGTTGAAATTAACTTTATATGCCTCAAATTTTCCATCCTATGTTTCTTAGTGTAACTTCAGCTGTCTAAGTTCAAAATACAAGGTCGCGCGCGAAATTTGACAAATTTTGAAAATATGTAAAAATAGCTTGACTTTGAACTGTATTTTCTCAAAAATAGCCCGTGGCCTCAATTTTAAATATAGCTAAATGAAAAGAAAAAACTTTTCGGCGTTTTTAGGTATCAAACATATCGTCAGGAAAATAGGGGCTCACAATGTTTTAGCTGAGTCTTTGAGACCCAGTTGCTTCGCACGTGTTGTGGTCAAATGTTTGCCAAGAATCAAAGGCCGAAATGTGAACTTCCTTCATGAAAACCGGCTCGAGAAGGGTCTAGTTTGAAAATTTAGCTATTAATTTCGATTTCATGAGCATATTTTGGTTACACGTTAAATATTTTTGTACTTGATGAGATTCAAAATTTGTTGTATATTCAAGCGCGGCTTTAGTGTAATTTTGGTGATGTCCGGAACAGAAATAAAGATATTTTAAAAACTGGCCGTGGCCTCAAGATAAAACTTTCTGAAAATGTTCTCTGTTTCATGTACTTTTATTTGATATCTTAGGTATAAGCGTAAAAATAGGGGCTCATACAGTTTACGAGGTTGTAAAATGCATTACTTGCATCTATTTCCATGTAAACATTCGAAATTTATCGACAACAAAGTAGCAACTGTTTCAGATCGAATGCACACAGACAGCCCACCAGAGACAATGGCAGGGTACTGAAATAGAACGTCACTAAAAAATTCTTTATGGTTAATTTAGATCATGTCCATTTTCAACATAAAACAGTCATTTATTTTGTACAAACATTTGGCAATATTTACACGATTGTGCCTTTTTGTAAACACGCGTTGCGTGTATTCCACTCAATTGCGTGACTCGTTTTGCTCGCGCATGCTCAGACAAATTTCCCACCTGTTGCCTGCAATAAATAACTCCTGAGAATTTGCTTAATACGAACGGTCAAGGTAGTATGCGTTATACCTGTCACATTTTATGGGGAGTTACTATTTTTAGACTTTTATAATTTTGTATTTTTCGTATTTTAAATTTAACCGTAATCTTAATTAACCCTAAACCTTACTCTAATCCTAATCTTAATACTAATCTTAATCCTACCCCTAATCCTAACCCTTTCCCTAATCCAAACCCTAATCTTAACCCTAAAAGTCTAAAAATTGTAACTCCTCCTAAAACGTGACTCAATGGTATGTGTTTTCGAACGCACTATTTTAAATCCTCTATTACAAGATTATGTACGTATATACTTACCTTCCGTCATTTTGAATGAAGTCCAATTCATCATTCGCTTGATCATCAAGCAACTTGGACCACGGGTTTTCTTCATCCCAAGGCAGAGCCGCAGCTAAGCAGATCAGAGAAATAGCTATGGTTGTTTTTATCATCTTCTTGGCAATTTCGCCTAAATAGAAAAAGGAATATGTGTGATTCGATATACAGAGCCTTGAAAAGATATCCTACTAAACGAGAGTGTCAGGCAGAAGTAAGAGTGCTTATAAAAAATCCTTGTGGGGGCTTCGGTGGTGTAGTCATCAAAACAAGCGCCTTTCATTACTTCTGAGTGCGTGGGTTTGATTCTCGCTATGGAACCATCAACCATGTGAAAAGAGTCCGTCAGCTCACTTTGTCGAAAGTCGTGGGTTTTTCCGGGTGCTCCGGTTTCCTCCCACAACGAAAGTTGACAGGGGGTTCGATAAATACTGTTAAGAAATAATATTGTTGTAAAGAAAAAGTATCCTAGGCTAAGTATGTGTAATAGACCTTTCCCCTTATGAGTGAAATTTTGATCTAGACAAGTCTGGACAGAAATTTCATTACAACTTGAAAGAGCATCACAAAATTAGTAATATTCCGAAGTTTCGTTGCGAAATGTTGTAAAATGCGGATAATATAGCCTTGCGAAGTTTGCCGTTTTTCAGTCATTTTGTATTACAAACGGGAAATTGATAATCAGTTTGATCATCTGATTATCAATTTCCCGTTTGTAATACAAAATGACTGAAAAACGGCAAACTTCGCAAGGCTAAATTATCCGCATTTTACAACATTTCGCAACTACGAAACTTCCGAATATTACTAATTTTGTCGGATGCTCTTTCAAGCCGTGATGAAATTTTTGTCTAGACATATCTATATCAAAATGTCACTCATAAGGGGAAAGGTCTCTATTCGGTAAGAGTTATATTTGATGTAAAGCGCATTTGCTTATACGTATTCACACGTATGAATTTGCGCTATAGAAATGGGTTAGATGGAAAACACGGAGTCGGAGTTCCGGAGTCGGAGCCCCGGAGTCGGAGTCCCGGAGTCTGACGTCATAAAAATATGGAAAACACGGAGTCATATGGAAAACACGGAGTCTGACGTCAGAGAAAAATATGGAAAACACGGAGTCATATGGAAAACACGGAGTCTGACGTCATAAAAATATGGAAAACACGGAGTCATATGGAAAACACGGAGTCTGACGTCATAAAAATATGGAAAACACGGAGTCATATGGAAAACACGGAGTCTGACGTCAGAGAAAAATATGGAAAACACGGAGTCATATGGAAAACACGGAGTCTGACCATCAGTGAGTCTGACGTATTGTCAGCGTGAAATATGGAAAATAGTAATTAAATAATATATAATTTATGCGAATATAAACAAACGGACGAATTTATAATAAACGAATTGGAAATTTTCTGCACTAATTCTGGTATTTCTCTAAAATGTCGTGAAAATATGGATTATTTATTTTTAAATACAATCAAGCAAATAATATTGTTTCTCTTGTCGTGTGACTTGTTCAGTTGTACAATATTTGAAGTGATTTTAATGCGGATTTTGTTCACCTCGCATGGTAATAATGTTGATAAAAATATAGTTTATATACTTAATACTGCTAGAATATTTCATAGTCGATTTACATGTAATATTTATAACACAAAATCTTGACACTAAACAGATATGCTGCTTGGAAACAGCGTTGTTATTTAGGCCACATAAAATAAATATAGAAATTTTGTATTTCATAAAGTATTACAATGCTTTTGAAAGGGATAATTTTAAGTGAAACCCACCTGTTGTGGACTTAAAATAAAATTGTGAACTGATGATGCAGAACCACTGGGATAGGGATATTGCTAGGAATACTGCTAGGAATACTGCTAGGGATACTGCTAGGGATTGTGGCGCACTAAATTTACTGTTTTCATAGATTTTTGTCGGGAAAGTACAAAACATGGACCCCCGGTCCATGAACCCCTTGTCTGGACCGGGTCCATGGACCCCCTTTATGGACCGGGTCCATGGACCCCCTCCATGGACCCCCTCCATGGACCGGGTCCACGGACCTGCGATTCTTCAATGGCCCCATCTATGAATAATGTTATCAGGAATTTTGAATACACCTGAATATAAATAACTCTGTACAGGGAGAAAACAATTAAATTTACTTGCAAGGTCAAAATGTTCTATTAATTTGTTCCAAATAACAAATACATCCAACTAGCTAGTGCACAGCTCACAAAAATGTATTAATTGAAGCAAGTCAAATTGCTGATTATGAACAGTGCCTTTAGACCACTTTCATAAGAGACAAATTGAAACACTTTTTTGTATATTGAACCAAGAAGGCTAATTAAGATGCACAATCATGAATGAAAGTGGTTTATTATTTCAACACTTTGCTGGCAGTGGTTTCTTTAATTTCATAGGCTGTGATCATTGAACGGCCTTGCAAGTCAGTAACACTATTATTATTCACATGGTGCATTGATTTGTCATGATATGTCGTTAGCAAGCCTCACTTTAGTATGAAGAAAACACTGGAGTGTAGATGAGGTTTGCTGCTAAGAACAAAAGTATGCTTTAAAACCACTAAAATAATTTTAAAAATTGAAAACTCGAATCATGTTTAATTAACAGTAATATTGAAATTTGGAAAAATGCGGCCCATGGAGGGGGTCCATGGATCTGGTCCAGACAAGGGGTCCATGGACCCGGTCCAGACAAGGGGTCCATGTTTTGTACTTTCCCATTTTTGTCCAAGCAATTAAGTTATAAAGAACAGAATAATAGTGTTGCCACATTCATGTAGTTCTATAGGCAAATGGTTGATTTGTCAAATATCTAGCTATTATGATTGTTTTATTATAAACACTGGAATGCTCATACTGCATGGATGGTTGTACAATAAGCAAAATTTGCCTTAGTAAAGTAAGCCACTAAAGCCAGTATCTCGGCTGGCTTGCATTACATATAAACATCCCCTATAATCCTACTATAGTTGGAAAAAATTAAGAAGTAAATTTCCCTTCAATATATGCAATTTGTAGTTATAGTTGTATATATAGGCACAAAAATGACTGAAATAGTTTAAAATTCAATAAAATGTCATTGTGTTGACATGAAAATATTCTACCAACTGTTTTTGTAGCCATAGGTGTTAATTTAAACCATGCAATTAATGCTCAATATATCTTACATAGACAAGTCTATGCCACTACACCACTGCAAATCTGCATTCATAGTTCATACGATTGAGCATCTCATGGTTTAAATTAACACCTATGCATGGCTACAAAAACAGAATATTTTCATGTCAACACAATGACATTGTATTGAATTTTAAACTATTTCAGCCATTTTTGTGCCTATATATACAACTAACTACAAATTGCATATATTGAAGGGAAATATATTTCATTCTAGATTTGTTTTACTTCTTAATTTTTTCCAACTATTGTAGGATTATAGGGGATGTTTTATATGTAATGCAAGCCAGCCTAGATACTGGCTTACTAAATTTACATGGCCTGTTTATATGGCCTGTTTATGTGGAAGCCGGGCTGGCCCGCTAAGTGAGACAGCCTGGTAAGCGAGATCTCGCTGTGTAGTTATTTTTATAGTAAAAATTATTGTGCGTTTATATGGACTTGCTTGAAAGAGGCGAGATCTCGCTTACCGGGATGGAAATTTCTCCATATAAACACTCACAAGCAAGCTAGGCTGGTTGCCGGGATGAAAGTTCAAAGATACCGCCGCAAGCTATTTTTAACAACTGTCAAAACAATACAATGTAACAAAATTGTCCCGGCAAGCGGGATGAAATTTTCTCATATAAACACGAGAGAAATTCATCCCACTTACCGGGCTGTCTTGCTAAGCGGGCCAGCCCGGCTTCCATATAAACAGGCCCTAAGGCAAACTTTGCTTATTGTACAACCATCCAGTATGAGCATTCCAGTATTTATAATGAAACAATCCATAATTGATATTTGACAAATCAACCATTTGCCTATAACTACATGAATGTGGCAACATTATTATTCTGTTCTTTATAACTTAATTGCTTGGACAAAAATCTACGAAAACAGTAAATTTAGTGCCCCACAATCCCTAGCTACCAGTGGTTCTGCATCATCAGTTCACAATTTTACTTTTAAGTCCACAACAGGTGGGTTTCACTTAAAATTATCCCTTTCAAAAGCATTGTAATATTTATGAAATAAGTGGCAATATATGTGCCCAGATGTAACCTACTTTATATTTTACTCTGCCTAACGCCAGACGATTTTACAATGGTATCATGCAATTAAGCCTGGAACAAATGGTCAGTTATAAATACCTATCTTGATCACTCAAATATCAATGGCTTGATATATAAAAACCTAAAACTTATATGTTAGAGATATTAACTTGGTATGGACTTACCACTATAGTGCAGGTATTTTGTTTGGACACCTAAAACTTTTTTAATGCCATTAATATACTGCACGGATTTGTGTATTGGCTGGCTGCATCTATTTATTAGTAAATAACAATATTGCACGCTGTTTCCAAGCAGCATATCTGTTTTGTGTCAAGATTTTATGTGTTATAAATATTACATGTAAATCGACTATGAAATATTCTAGCAGTATTAAGTATATAAACTATATTTTTATCAACATACCAATGCGAGGTGAACAAAATCCGCATTAAAATCACTTCAAATATTGTACAACTGAACAAGTCACACGACAAGAGAAAAACAATATTATTTGCTTGATTGTATTTAAAAATAAATAATCCATATTTTCACGACATTTTTAATAGAGAAATACCAGAATTAGTGCAGAAAATTTCCAATTCGTTATATTATAAATTCGTCCGTTTGTTTATATTCGCATAAATTATATATTATTTAATTACTATTTTCCATATTTCACGCTGACAATACGTCAGACTCACTGATGGCCAGACTCCTCTCTGACATAAGACTCCGTGTTTTCCATATTTTATGGTCGACTCCGTGTTTTCCATATGACTCCGTGTTTTCCATATTTTTATGACGTCAGACTCCGTGTTTTCCATATGACTCCGTGTTTTCCATATTTTTATGACGTCAGACTCCGTGTTTTCCATATGACTCCGTGTTTTCCATATTTTTCTCTGACGTCAGACT